GGGGCAGATATTATAAGAATTTATTTTCTTCTTTCTGCTCCCTTTCATTTTACTTGTGATTTGTTTTGTTTTTAGATGAAATGAATTTAGTAGATCTGGGTCCTTGATCCAGCTTCATATCAACATGGGAGAAAAAAAAMCTTACAGAGCTTTGGCTCATGTGGTGACATGAATATTGCTACCACTGCTTGCGGGACTGAACAACAAACAGGTTTATATTGATTATGAGCGACACAGCAACTTTGTAGGCTAGTTAGTTTCAAAAACGACAAAAGGATAGCTAAATCTTAGTTCATTATGTTTCAATGTGTCACGACTCGCTTAATTTCTGAAAGCTTCACCTGTGATTTAGGGACTGATCCGTTCGTTGTTTTCATTGAACACTTTGTAAAGATTTGACGGCAGCTTCAAACTCTGTGCCATGATAGGACAGATTTTGATCTTGTGTAGGAATGTTAATGCAACTGAGGAAGATCAGGTGATACAATACTATCCATAATTCAACGAACATGAGAACAATCAGGTGAGTACATCCTCTTATAAAAAATGTTTTCATTTCTGATTGTGATGATTGGTTTTTGTGTTCACCTTCTGCTTGGTTCCTGCTCCTAATTGCACCACCTGCATGCAATCTTCCTGATGACATCCTGGGTTTTAAAAGTGTCTCCAGACGGACGAGTATTCGCTGATGCATTACACCGTTTTTGGTAGTGCCTAAGCCAACTATAGTTATTGAAAGTTTACGATTAATGTTACTTACCTGAATTTTTTTTGCTCTTCAAGGAAACCTTCGTCATTGCACCGTCTGGAGTTTTTAGTCTGCCCAGGATCATCATCAAAAGGAACCAAGGAAGATTTTATGGTCTTGCCACTCTGCCTGAAGAAACCATTTTATCTCACAAAAGAAACCTCACCTCAAAGCCTACTCACTCTTCAGAAACCTGTAAGAAAGAATTTTCATTATCTAAAGACATTTATCATTCATGATCCAATCCATATTGAAGAAGACTCACCTGGACTCTTCCCCTTTTTTCAGATCTGGACTTGTACATTTTTCCCAGCACCTGTAAATAAAATCACTTTTTTCATTCGCCTCCTGTGTTTGGTTGGTCAGTTCCACTCATTTGCCTGACTTTCTGAGTTCATGTCACTGATGGGTCTGATGTTATTCCTGAACCAGCTGTGGTAACAACAGAGATGTAGATATTGGTTATCACAATCAACAAGCCAACAATTTTCTGTTTATATTCCCTTGTTGATGAAATTTTGCATCTCAAATTGAACAAAAGTTCAGCGGTGTGATAAGTTCATATATGGCTTGTAAAGACATTTGTTCTCTAATTTCTGTTTTGTAGCATATAAAGAATCTAAATACACAATGCTCTCAGATTATCTTGCTAGTTTCTTTTGAACAATCTCCAACAGTAAGCTAAACATTAGCTAGCTAGCACCGTGTTCTTTCACACCAACATCATTTAGTATTAGATGGAGTGGTTAGCCCTGATGCCTCACATCTAGAAGGTCCTGTGTTTGATCCCCATTTGGATCCAGGGTTTTTCTGCGTGGAGCTTGCACATTCTTCTCATACTTGTGTGGGTTTTCTTGGTACTTGGATTTCCTCCCACAGACAAAAAAAAATAGCATGTTAGGTTGCCTTCAGACCCAGGCTTCTCTTACAAAAGAGATCTGTGATCTCAATGGGATTTGCCTGGTTTCAGGATAGTTAACAATATTCATATTTTTTGAAAGAGGGTTTCATAAACCTAAATAACAAACACCAGGAACTCGTTTGGCGAAGCCATTTGTCGTGCCTGGAAAAAGATCTTTTTGCCATACTTTGTGCTCTTTGACTGCTGTCACAATGGATGAGTTGTTGAGTGGTTAGGGGAGTCATCCTCCAATGAGAGAGTTGGGTGTTTGATTCCCCCATTAAAGTCAAAATGTCCTTGGGCAAGACACCACTGAACCCCCACTGCCTCTGATGTGTGTCCCATCAGTGTATGAGTGTGATTTAAAGCACTGATTAGTCTTCAGATTAGCTTTGTAGAGAGATTTAGTGAGAAAGTGTAAATGAGAGCACATCACTGTAAGAGACAGTCTATACCAGGGGTCCCCAAACTTTTTCCTGTAAGGGCCACATAACTTTTCCCTTCTCTGGTGGGGGGCCGGAGTCAGTTTGTAACAGAAAAAGTGTGACTATTGCAGAAGTGCCTAAATGTACAAATTTATTTTTTTCCAGAAAGCACAATCAAATAACCCTCTCTGGGTTCTTCACAGKATGTATTCTGCTGAGCTAACAGTCCACTTTTTAGCTTTGAGAGTTTGTTTGCTCGCATTTGGCCTTGCAAGTTATCATACTTGTCTTTGTGATGGGATTCATAGTGTCGCCACAGATTATATTCTTTGAATATCGCCACCGCCTCTTGACAGATGAACAAAAAAGTAATCGTTTGTCCACTGCAGCTTAAATGCCCTGCATTCTGAATCAATTTTTCTCTTACCTAATCTTTTCGCCATTATTCCGCTCTCTCTTTGAGAGGGGCGGGTTTAGGATTTTTTTGGGGGGTTGCCAGATAGGGGCACAGACCGCAGAAGGGTGGAACAGAATGTCACGTTATGTGTGTTTATGTATGAAACAGTTACTAACTATTAATAGTTAATAATGAAAAAGTTCATAACTAAGGAACATTTTATTGCAAAAGTCCAACTTTATAATCAAATATAAATACACACATATGAAAACAAAACTAAATGCTCTCTGGTATTGTTCTGGGGGCCGGACCAAGTGGGGAGGTGGGCCGGATCCGGCCCGCGGGCCGTAGTTTGGGGACCACTGGTCTATACAGACAGTATGAAGCACTTTGAGTAACCTGGCTGAATAGAAAGGTGCTATAAGTACAATCTATTTACCACAAGGTACTACCAAGTGACAGGTCACCTTAAAATTGACTGAACTATCCTTTTAATGTTAATATATTAAAACTGTCTAACTTGTATGAAATATGCTTAACTGTTTTAAACCATTGCCAGGAAATAATTTATTACTGTTCATGAATATTTTCGTTTACTGGCAGTAATCATTTGTTTCAGATCAGCTTGTGTGCAAGAGAGCAGCCAAGCAAACTGCAAATCACCTGGAAACTCTTGTTCTGAGGGTTTTTCATTTGCAGTGCAGTTCATTAAGCTCACTCACAACACAAAAACGTGCTGCCACCATGTGGAAATCATGATCAGGGTGGTCTGAAAGTTCAATGAATTCCTTTGTGACCAAGTCTGAACAACTAAGATTGATTTTCGCAGTATTAATATTTGTTGGAGACTGTTATTTGTCTACAATTATGATTTAATGGCAAAGTGATGCATCGCCAAAGAACTAAAAAATAAGATCTTTGTTTTTAATTTCTCACACCACCCTGATTGTCTTTCTTTGTCTTACTGTTATATCAGTGTTTCTAATAATACATATTTTTCTAACAGAGCAGTATGCAAGGAATCTCTGCAGCTCTTCCTGTTTGGAGGTTTTCTGGATACTCTGCAAATCCTGACATGATTAAATGGGTCTGAAGAGTGAATCCTGCATTTTGAAGCTAAATTATCCGTGTGCATGAAATACTCATATTGGGATTGTATTTGTCSCTGAGCAGACTTCCATTGAGTCTGACTTCCATCAGACTCGATCTCCAATACTCCTTTAATTTCAGGTGAAGTTATTTCCTATCCAGTGTTGGCATTTTTGTTTAAACCAAAGAATAAGTTATTGTGGCTTTAATACAGCAAGACACTTGACTATTTCGTACAATTTAAATGTTTTTATTTTATGTCTAATTATATTTTAATTTATATGTTTTGACTGTTATGGTTTACTGTGTTCAGTTATATATATTTACTGTTCATTGTTTATGTGTAGCACTTTGGGCAACAGCAGTTTTAAAATGTGCTATTTGAATAAATTTGATTTAATAACAGGCTACGAGCAAAAGTATATTTTATCAGAGATGTCAAGTAAAGCAAAATACTGTGTTACTTTACTTAAGTAGAACTGTTTATACTTTACCGGAGTAATTTTTTTATATATATTCATTTTATTTTATTTAAAAAAATATTCATTTCATTTAAAAACAAAACAAATGCTATACATACAACAAATAATAATACAAAACACTAATAAAATGAAAGCTAGCAGAAAGAAGACATTTTTTATTAATATCTGCCCCTTTTTAAAAAAAATCAAACAACAATAACCTTCAAATAACAAAACATAACAAAAATGTCAACTCCTTCTCGAACAACAGTTCTTATGAATGCACATTATACAAATTCATGTTTCTTCAACAATCTAACTTTTATCATTCTCTTAAATAAACGTACTGAGCCAGCATTTTTATAATCACTTTCCAGATTATTCCAGTCTTATTCCTTGGACTAAAGTACATCTGTCCTTCAAATTTGTTAGAATTTTTGGATTTACAAACACCTCTGTACCATTAAGGTTATAATTATTTACTCTCTTAACAAAATTTAATTGAATATTTAGAGGTAATAAATTTTTTGAGCTTTATACATAACCTGCAAAATATTATGATCAACCAACTCATAAAATTTCAACTGAAAAATTAATATATTTGATGGGTGACTGTAATGTTTTCTGGTGATAACTCTTACAGCTCTTTTCTGTAAAATAAAGATGGGATTTGTAATTGTTTTACATGCTTTCCCCCAGACTTCAATACAGTAAATCAAGTGTGGAACAATTATTGCATTTTATAATGTAAACAAAGCTTTGTCATTAAATAAAGTCCCTTACTTTATACAACACTGCAATGGATTTGGCTATTTTTGTTCTTAAGTGATTTATGTGAGATTTCCATGTCAGCTTTTCATCAATAATAACACCCACAAACTCAAACCTCATTGACTCTACAGATCTCAACACCATCAACTCGAAAAGGAAAATCAATAGCTTTATTACTGAACATCATATAATTAGTTTTATTCAAATTTAATGATAATTTATTTAGTTTAAACCAAGTTTGTATTTTAACAAATTCTGTTTGCATCATCCCCATCATTCATTTGTTTACAAACACTGGACATGATCGCTCCTCTGAAATGCCACTAAATTAACACCCAAGCCTTGGCTGAATCACGTTACACGCACTGCTAGGCATGAGTGCAGGAGAGCAGAGTGCAGGTGGAAAAAGGACAGACTGCAGGTTTCTTTTTGTATTTTTAAAGAGAGCCTGTTGTGTTACCAAAGAACTGTGAAATATGAGAAGAACAAATATCTCTCAGACATAATTGCTTTCAACTGTAACAACCCCAGTGTTCTGTTCAAAACTATTGACTCTGTTCTTAATGCTCCTAAGTTTGTTGGTTCTGATGCCTCCAGTGAAACCTGTGAAAGTTTTCTTCACTTCTTCACTGACAAAATTGTGTCAACTAGATCCATTATTTCTCAGCCTCCCTATGACTCTTCTCTTCCTTTACACTACTCATCTGTTTTTCATCAGTTCAAGACGGTATCCTTTTCTTTTTTGAAGGAAACAGTTGGTCATTTGAGGCCCTCTGGTTCCCCTTTAGACCCATTCCACCTTGTTTGTTTAAGGAGGTTCTTGCAACCATTGGACCAAGTGTACTACAGATAATCAATACTAGTCTTCCATCAGGTACAGTACCTGACGTTTTTAAGCATGCATTTGTACGTCCTCTACTTTAAAAAAAACAGGTCTCGATCTATCTCTCTGCTCCAACTTTAAGCCTATCTCCAATCTTTCATTTATTTCTAAAATTTTAGAGAAGGTTGTCTACAACCAGTTGTTACCATTTTTAGGCAACAATGGTATCACTGAGCCATTTCAGTCTGGCTTTAAACCCCTCCACAGTACAGAAAGTGCGCTTTTAAGAGTTACAAACGATATATTTTTGTCAACAGACTCTGGTAAGTTTGTTTTAGTGCTTTTAGATTTATCCACTGCATTTGAATATCATATAATTAGTTTTATTCAAATTTAATGATGATTTATTTAGTTTAAACCAAGTTTAAACTACAGGATTTTAATCCCTCGTCTTGAGCACTGTGTGGGCATTAGGGGTGTCGCCCTCAATTGATTTCGGTCCTACTTGTCTAATAGGAGTTTTTGTGTAAAGATTGACAATCTGTGTCCTCCACAGCTCCCCTTCCACATGGGGTGCCCCAGGGGTCAATATTTGGCCCTCATTTTTTTTTACCCTTTACCTACTTCCACTTGGCTCTGTCTTAGGAAGCATGGTATATCATTTCACTGTTATGCTGATGACTGTCAGATCTATTTTCCCTTTGCACAAAACAACATAGTCCAACTCATACACTGCCTTAATGATATAAAAGCATGGTTCTCTCTTAACTACCTTAGTCTAAATGAAAATAAGACTGAAGTTATGTTGTTTGGACCGAGTGGCTCCTCCTCCCCCAATGTAGACCTTGGCTCACTGTCACTCCATCTCAGGGACTGTGTCACCAATTTGGGGGTGAAGTTTGAGTGTGATTTTAAATTTGACAAACAGATCA